GGGGGGGGAGGGGCTGGTTCCATAAATTGGAGAAGAATGGTCAGTCATACAGACGCAATGCAATTCGCCCCCCCCCCCAATAACGTCACAGCTCTAAGTGCGGAAAGTTTGATTTAACTCGCCCACCTTTTGTAATCCAATAGTTTTTTAAATGACAGAAGAGGGGTATTGAAACTGGTAAATAATCATTCATATCTCAAAGCATTGCGTGTGTGTGTATTATGTGTTCTTAATTTGAAGTACAGTGTAATACGTACCCCTGCTCACCACGGGGAAGTAGGACTAGGACCTCAAAGAGGATTCTTATTTTATTTTGGATGTCAATGATTAAAATGGGATAAAAATCAGTGAGGGCTGAGATAAAACATTTTTATCCACTTAAAATGTATTCTCCAGACAAACTGTTTATTGTTAATTTCCTTCTTCAAAAATCCTCTTTCAGACTGCTCCAGTGTTTTAGTTGCAGTAGGTTTCTCTTTCTCTGTTGAACACACTGGCAGCATACACGGCATTGATTTTCAGGTGTGTTATTTGCTGGTGAAATGAGTTTCTGATTGAAAAGGGAAATGTTTGGTGACGCGCACGTAAAATATTGTCATGCACAATAGAATCTTTTATGCCGACAGACGAAAGTGAACAAGCTATAGATTCAAAAGCATTACACAATTGAAGTTGATTATTTATCTGATCTCCACAAACACAACGCAGGTGTACGCAATGCAGAAGACACCAGCCAGTGATTGATAACCCAACCTAAACTTCTTTCAAGTGTACATACACAACAATCTGTCTAAGCCCACTGACATCATAACAGTCACGCGGCTTCATTAAAGGAAAAAGTGAGCACGTGCGGCGTGTGTGTGTGTGTGTGTATTTGTGGTATGGGGGGGGTGGGGTGCTCAGTCTATGTCATGGTCTGGTGCAGATGATTATTTCGACTTAGCTTAGGTCACACAGTGCGTGAATATGCAGCACAGGTCAGCAGTAGTTGCGAGTACTAGATTTCTATGCGACTGCCTCATTTAGCCATAACGATACCGACTGGTGACCTATTTTTTTATCGGAAGGGGAGGGGGACGAATTCAAGATTATCCTTCCCTCGTCTTTCCTAAGGAGTTATATTTGCTTTTGAAATAAGTTAGGAACTTGCAACTAAAGAAAGACTAGTTAAGTAAGAGTTTTACGGCACTTGTAACATGATAGGTCATATGAATGCCGAAGATTAGAGGTGTTGCACGAGATTAACAAACACAAAAAAGAGGAGGAGAAATAATGGCGACAAGAAAGAAGGTTCAAACCACACCAGAGCACCTGTCAATCACTCACCCACAAAAAAATAATACCGACTCCTCAATGATCACAAACATTCTGGCTTTTCATCTGGATACTCTTTTCTTTCAATCACCCGTCCGTTCGAGCAAAGCATTGGCATAGATAACAGGACATCGACTTTAGCAGAGTGTTAAGGAACAAAACAATGAGTGGAATGTGCAAAAGAGTATTTAGGTGACAAATAACTTAAACCACTTAAATACGTAACATCACCATACGTAAAATACTGCATATGCACAGTCCTTACGTATAATCAATATTTTCATTTATTGTATGCGAATCATCGTAATGAAAATAGGCGTTCGTCAAAATAATGAACGAAGAAACCTGCCTTCTTCCAGGCGTTTGGAACATTTTCGATTTATTATTTTATTTTATTTTATTATCTTTTTATTTTATTATTATTATTATTATTTTATTTATTTATTTATTTTTAAAAAAAATATTTTTTTTTTGGGGGGGGCGGGGTTGAATTTGGGCTCAACATCTTTTATGTTTATTTAAAACACATTTCAGTGTGGTTTTTAAAAAAACTGAATATCGTTGATCAAATGCCCAAAAACATTTCAAATCTCAGTTTCCAATGACTCTCAAGCTTTAGAATCCACCACATTTAGGCATCAATTTCCTTTAAAGGCAGGTGGGTACTTTTAAAAAAGCAAGACAAATGAATAGGCTTTAAGTTTGTACTAAAAACTCACTTCTCGCAGAAACGGACGAGTTACACATACTGTCGTTTTCAGGCTGTTCAACTCTCTCAAGCCCACAAATCTATTAGTCTTTTCAGGAGATAGTAAAATCAAAATTTCTTTACTTTAATACTTTATAAAAATGATACTGACCCTTCGAAAGATGGCAAACTATGAGGTGCTTGATAGTTGTATTTACGGAGAACAGGTATCGTTCGAAAAGAGAAGGGAAGACCAGTCTCCCAGACGTCATTTGACATGGTGAGACGTTTCTGGTGGTGACCTATTGGTTGACATAAATCAGTTCGGGAAGAGGTGTTTTGGTTTTTGTAATTAGCTGTGTGGATGTGAATGTTGTTCGATCACCTTTCGACGTTTGTGAAATATATTTAGCAATTATAGGCACTGTGGTATATTAAGCCATCAAATTGCTTTGGTTGAGACAAATCAATACACAACTTATCATAACTTTGGAAAATTAATAGTTTGTTGACCTTGAAAGAATATAATATTTAACATAAATACTAGCGAGCAAAAGAAACGCCGTATCCTATTTACCTTAGTAATGGTGATCATGTTTTTTTTCCTCCTTTATTACAAAACGGGAAACCTAAACTCAAACTATTTTTAGCATTATGAAAGAATACGTGGGAGCATCAATGAGAACATTAAATTGCTGCCGAATATATTTTCAACTTTCGGTTAATACATAAAAATTTCAACTTTCGGTTAATACATAAAAATGCCCAGTAGCGGGTATGGCCACCATTAGATCGGATAACAACAATACATCTCCGGTACATGGAAGCCACTTGGGCTTCCGTATCTCCTGGATGGATGGCCACTGCTAGTTCTAGTTTCTGCGCAGTCCCCGGTCTTGGTTGTCTTCCCTCGAGGCGCCGTTTAATTTCGATCCAAAATGCTCAATTGGGGTTAAATCCGAGCTAAAGGGCAGGGTGATTCTGAAGTGAGGGTTCAGAATGGTACCATGACGTTAAAGGAAATCTTGTGTTGTACGGGCAGTTTGTGCACGAGTATATCTTGCTGGAACCGGAAGTTAAAAGTTTGTCTGTGTAGAGGCCGCGCATGAGGCCTAAGAGCTTTGTGGCTATGTAGCGGGCAGCATTGACACCTTAACCTCGACCTTGGTCTTGATTTTGGAAGATTACTGGTCCTACTTTGTAGTTCCATAA